GGAACTCCGACCAGGCAACAGGCCTGCCTACAGCCTTCAGACTCCGTGTGTCCCCTAGAATGTGACTTGGGCTACAGCTCGCTGCATGCCCCTGCCCGCTTCTTGAATGTACTCTGGTCGCAGTGTGCTCCTGGCTCTTTGTTGCCCTCCATCGCTCTGGCTACCTTGTTTGCTCTAGATCTAGCAGAATTTTCTGCCTGAGACCTGGAGTATCACATGGGGAAAATGGGAGACACCCCCAGCCTGGATCCAGACGACTGAGCTGTCCGTACTCAGTTCTCTGGAGCCATGTCCAGTGCTGAGCTAAAAAGAGAACATATTCCAGTCTCCTCCCATCCTTGAGGTGATAAGCAGTTGGAGCAAGAATGCAGAATGGATGCTGCCATTGAGCTGTGGCAGAAGGGGACTGTCATGCCCCTGGCCGCCTTTGGCCAGAATGACCGGGGATGTCTGGACAAATGCTGGTGTGGGTGAGGACCATGTCTGCACACGAGTGAGTGGCTGCTTGGAGTTCACTGCTGTGATGCCAAAGCGTGCCCCGAGGTGATGCCTCCACTCCTGCACACCCGTCCCGTAGGCAGGAGAGGCTGCCGAGTGATGCCTGAGCACAGAGCCAAGGAGCTAAATTAATAAGTCTGTCTGTCTGTCAAGTCCTGAGTTTGTCATTGGCAGGTTTCTGAGGTGTGGCCAGCTCTTTCTGAGTGTGGGTGTCTGAGCGAGCAGGCCAGAAGGCCAGGCACCAAACTCGCATGCCAAAGTGAACGGTCATCTCGTAAGGCCTGGCCACGGCCCTGTGGACCGTTCCACGTGATTCGGACCCCACTTTTTATTGGCTTCCCATGCCTCTGGCCTTTCTTTCCCTGCCATCCTGACACTGATAGTTTGTCATAAAAAGCCCTCCGGTTGTGTTTTTTCTTTTCTAGGAAAAAAAAAATTAAAACGCAAAACAAAACAAAAAACAGAAACTACAGATAAGAATGTAAGTGCCAATGACTGCCTGTCATTTTTCTGTCACAATTTTCCCAATTTGATCTGTTCCCTTCCTCTCGGAAAAGCAGAGGACATAGATGAGGCTTGTGATTTAAAACAGTGAGAAGGGACTTGGCGTGTGCCTGCTTCATGACATTTGTACGTCCAGGGGCCTCCTAGCCCTGACACCTTTCTCACAGGAAACTTCCAAGCCCTTCAGCTAGACACAGTCGATGGCACCCCAGCCCTTTCTCCCTGCCTTCCCTGGGGTGCTGCAGGAGAGCTGTTGAACCTCACTGTGGGGAGGAAGGCTTCATCTGTGGCCTCAGAAGAGCTGCCCTTCCATTGATGCCATAGGACGTGATGCTGACGGAGGCCTGGGAGTAAGTGGTTCCAGGATGACCTGCAGGAGGCGTTTCCAGGTGGTGCTGGGCACTAGTGTTGCTCACACTCCATTCTCTCCACCCACAGCCTAGGCCCCAGTGTATGTGACAGAGGGCTTAGGGCTTCCTTGGGGAGTGACCGATTTAGATGGTCTTTTTTTTTTTTTTTTTTTCTGGGGAGAGTACACGTCTTTATTAGGAGCTGGGAATTTGTTCTTTTCTGCCTGCTCAGACATTCATATGAAAGGTCCCTTGTGTTATGCACAAATCACCATTAGCCTCCATGAGAAACACGGTGATTGGCAGGATCCTGTCTCCCGGGATTTTGATGTCCTCAGTTCAGGAGAAGGCCTTGTGCACAGGAGGGTGGAGGGACATGAGGTGTCTGCTGGACAGCTAGAAACAGCGCCTTTCCAGAGGAGAGGAACAGGCAGCTTCAGGGGGAGAGGACATTCCCACCAAGGGAATGGCAAGGACAACAACGCACTGGGGACCAGGATCTGGTGGGAGAAGGGGTGAAGGCCCATGGAATGCCCTAAAAGCCACAGGGAGAGGGAAGGGAGGCACCCAGCTCCATGGGCATGACAGTGTGAAGGAGGGCCTCCTGGTGTAAAATGTGAGCAGGTGGGACTGACACCCCAGGAGGAGGGGAAGCAGCAGTCACAGCCAGGGGCTAGATAGGGACCCAATAACCCCAGTCCTTGCAAATCCGCGAGCATCCATACTCCACAGTTGGAAGGTAGAGTCAACTGCACACCTCGGTGGGGCACGTGAGGAGCAGTAAAAAGCCCTTGGGAAACAGGAAGTGGTGGTTGCCAAGGGGAAAGGATGTCCTCACCACATACCCAGAGGATCTCCAGCTGGCATCTCACCCACAGTTGTACATGCTCTGGGTCACTATGCTAATGAGACACAGGTTCTATAGGGAGACACAAAGGAACTAATAAACTTCCTGGCCCTTGTTTTCAAATAACCTGCGGTCTTCCTCTTTGTGCAGTTTTTTGTGGGAGTAGCACCTTGATGGAGGTTGGGCAGTGTGTGGAATAAAGAACGTGACTACTTTTTGATGGGTACACGGACGTGAAGGCACTCTGCTAGGGATAGAGGTTTGGGAACTAAGAACTACTGGGTTCCTCACTGTAGTGCTTGACTTCACTGCTGTGGGAGAAGACGGCTCCCTCAGCAACGCGTTCACTGATCCCGGTGATGGAGGACTTGCCTGCACGTTTGACTGTGCAGGACACGTGGTGGTGAGACTCCTCAGCTTAACCATGTGGGAATGGTTAATTGTGTTACGGCTTGTTTCAGGAGATGTATAGGTCCCTGAGAGTGGGACCTGAGGGGTGCAGGGCCTGTAGGCAGCCCTGTTGAGAGGTTCCTGTCCTTGTCTGTAGAAAATGGCAACTGGCCCTGTAAGGGACCTTTCCTGTGGTGAGATGGAACACGTGGCCCCGATGCCCCGATGCCCGGTGTGTTCCACCTGCCTGCTGTGTTCCACCTGTCTTGTGGCACTCTCGCTCAGATTTCCAGTGCCTCTCCTATTGGTGGAGAGTTAGCTTCCGGAATCACCTTGGGGTGGTTGGTTGTAGGCTTTGTTGTAGTGGGGAGAGGGTGTCCCTTATTCTTTCCCACTTGTTTGCCTCATGATCGACTGGGAACAAGGGAAATTTGCACGTGTGAGCACACACACACAATTTCTATTATGTTGACAGGCCTTTCTTGTCCTTAGGTTCATTAGGCCAAAGGGTCAACATTCATTCACCAAATATACTGGACCCAATGCGGAGGGTGCAGGATATTAACACACAGCCCCATCCTTGAGGGCTTTCCAATCCAACTGCCAGGCAGCAGGAAACCTGACAGTCAAGGAAGGAGCTTCCTGAGGCCAAAGAAACTTCATTGGGGCTTGAAGAATGGGTGAGAATTTGGTGAGAGAATGCTGGGATTCATGGTGGGGAAGTAGAAGAGGGAAGGGTGTGGCTTTGGGGAGCACTGAGCTGCTGCCCTTCAGCAGTAGTGACATCCACTGGAGAGGTGGAATAGGTCATTAGGTGGAAGGACCCAGAGGGCTGGAAACTGCACAGTTACTGCCAGGTACTAACAGCTGCAAGACACAGAACTCAAATGGGCCTTCATGTAAATGGGATTTATTGGTTCCTATAACTGCAAAGCTCAGCGTAGTTCAGGAGGTTTGGCTGGGTCCAGGGACTCAAGCAATGACAGGAGACATGACTTCTCACATGCTTTTGCTATATTTTTCTGCTTAAGCCAATTCCCCAAACATGGCCGACAGAGGCCCTAGGCTCACGCTGACCTCTTTATTTAAGGCACTGGAATGACTGATCTCTGCCCAACTTAGATCATGCTCCTTTCCCTGACTGAGGACTTGGACTATCATCCTGTGTCCTGATTGATGGTTGCCTGTGAGATCTTGGATTCAATACCACTGTTTGTGGTTGGGATGTGTGAGCCCAAGGGCCAGGCCTCAAGGAAGCAGAAATCCTGGCTGGCAGGAGCCTTTGAAATGGAGATGAGCTGCCTGTAAGACCTATCCTTGAATAGAAATGGACCTTAAAGTCAGGCCTACCCCTCTCAGTGGGCAAGCCGAGCCTTGCTTGCACCAATCCTGTCTCAGGAACTGTCTCTTGCTTCTCTCCTCCCCTAGCCCCTGCTTCCTGCTCTGACTCTCCTGACTTGTTCTCTCTAAGCTCAGTGCTTTGTTGGAGTAGTGCTTGGTATTCCTGAAGACATAACTTGGCACACATCCTGGCTTTTTGGGGTAACCACCCACCTAACACCAGCCCCACCCCATATCTCCATCCTGAAGTCAACCTGAGGGGATGGGGAGGGAAAAGGCAGGAGTAGACTCCAGGCCGTGGGGTTGGTATGGAGTGCCTCCATTAGGGTACATTTTTGCATTAATTCCTCAGAACTCCTGAAATTTCTGCTGATCTTGGGGTGTTGCTGTTTTACTTGGGTTTCTCCAGAGAAACAGAACCAATGAGATGTGAATACATTCAGAAAGAGACTTAGAATAAGAAATGGGCTCACACAATGGTGGAGGTTGACAAACTCCCAGATCTGCAGTATTAGGAAGTGAGAGGAGCAGGCCCCGCAGTGGGACGTTCTAGTCTGATGACTGGCAGGATTGAGGACTGGAAAAGTTGACCCGGATGTCATTGGCCTTGTGGCTTCACATACAGCCTGGTCTTGCTGACAATGACAGGTGTTCTCATGAACTGTTTTGAGCTGCTATCTGGGAGTGTTGCCAAAAGCTAAGTCCAATTTTGAGAAAAAGGAAAAAGAAGGTTTATTGCTTTGCTAGCAAAGGAGAAACACAGGGGACTTGTGTCCTTAAGGCTGTGATTCTGCCCATCAGCAGGAAAACGGGGCTTTTAAAGAGGTGATTCAAGGGCTACATTCCACTGTTCTGTGTTGGAGTTTGATTCACTTGTTTATTTGAGAGTCATTTCTGAGATCATCTGGTTCCATTCCCAAAGTCTGGATTACTTTGTTCCTGTAATGGATGTGCACTCACGGACAGATAAATCTGCCTAGGATGAGGAAAAAAGGCAATCCTGTTTCCCCTGAGATTAGGAAAGGGGAGAGATTAAGAAGGAACTAGGAGAGAGGAAGAGAAAGAACATGTCTGTTTTTAAAAATTAAATTATTTATTTATTCCAATTTGTTATACATGATGGCAGAATGCAATTCATTTCATATTATACAAACAGAGCACATTTTTTCAAGTCACTGATTGTACACAAATTATTTTACAACCATTCATGTCTTCAAACATGTACTTAGGGTAATGATGTCTAACTCATTGCACCATCATTCCTACCCGCTTTCCCCTCATTTCCCTCTCTCCCCTTAGCCCTAAAGTTCCTCCATCCCACATCCCCAGTATGGATCAGCATTCTCTTATCAAAGAAAACATTCAGCCTTTGGTTTTTTGGGATTGGCTTGCTTCACTTAGCATTATATTCTCCAACTTTATCCATTTACCTGCAAATGCCATGATTTTATTCTCTTTTAATGCTGAGTAATGTTCCATTGTGTATATATGCCAATGTTTCCCTATCCATTCATCTACTGGAGGGCATCTAGGTTGGCTCTATTTTTTTAAAATATTTATTTTATTTAGTTTTCGGCAGACACAACATCTTTGTTTGTATGTGGTGCTGAGGATCGAACCTGGGCCGCACGCATGCCAGGCGAGCACGCTACCGCTTGAGCCACATCCCCAGCCCCCTCTAGGTTGGTTCTATAATTTAGATATTGTGGATTGTGCTGCTGTAAACATTGATGTGGCTGTGCCCCTGTAATATGCTGTTTTTAAGTCCTCTGGGTATAAACCAAGGAGTGGGATAGCTGGGTTAAAGGTGGGTCCATTCCCAGTTTTCCAAGGAATCTCCATACTGCTTTCCAGATTGGCTGCACCATTTTGCAGTTCTACCAGCAATGTATGAATGTGCCTTTTCCCCCACATCCTCGCCGACATTTATTGTTGTTTGTATTCTTGATAGCTGCCATTCTGACCGGAGTGAGATTAAATCTTAGAGTAGTTTTGATTTGCATTTCTCTAATTGCTAGAGATGTTGAACATTTTTTCACATGTTTGTTGATTGATTGTATATCCTCTTCTGAGAAGTGTCTGTTTAGTTCCTTGGCCCATTTATTGACTGGGTTATTTGTTTTATTGGTGTTAAGGTTTTTGAATACTTTATATATATCCTAGAGATTAGTGTTCTATCTGATGTGCTTGTGGTAAAGATTTGCTCCCATTCTGTAGGCTCTCTATTCACCTTACTGAGTGTTTCTTTTGCTGAGAAGAAGCTTTTTAGTTTAAATCCATCCCATTTAATGATTCGTGGTTTAATTCTTGCACTATAAGAGTCTTATTAAGAAAGTTGGGGCCTAATCTGACATGATGGAGATTTGGACCTACTTTTTCTTCCATTAGGTGCAAGGTCTCTGGTTTAATTCCTAGGTCCTTGATCCACAGAAGCATGACCATTTAAAAGTAAGTTGCAGCCAGGTACCATGGCACATGTCTGTCATCCCAGCAGCTCAGGAGGCTGACGCAGGAGGATTGCAAATTCAAGCCAGCCTCAACAAAAGAAAGGCACTAAGCAACTCAGTGAGACTCTGTCTCTAAGTAAAATACAAAATAGGGCTGGGGATGTGACTCAATGGTTGAGTGCCTGGGTTCAGTCCCCGTACCAAAAAAAAAAAAATGTTGCAGTGGCAGATCAGCAAGGGCTGTATCAAAGCATAAAGTAGAACATGATGACCCTGACCCTGCCTGCCATGAGGAAAGAGGCTTCCCATACTGAGGGGCTTGATGAAGACTGGAAGCGCTTTCCATTCTGAATAACAGATGCCTGGATCTAATGCACACTCTGAAGGAAAGAAAAGCACTTACTGCTGTGCATTGGCTGGTAACTGGAGCCCAGGGATTGCATCAGACTCAAGTACTTGGGAGAAAGAGATCAGAACACAGACCTGGAAGCTGACAGCCACCGGCTGTTCTGGGCCCTCCAGCTTGTCCTGGGGGATGATCTCTACACATGATGCTGCTAAGACAAGAACAGGTGCTTCTCCTAACTCTCTGCCACGGCCCCAAAGTAGGAACCATGGTCTTTAGTCTGGGATCTAGAACCTGCAGGCTATGACCCTAACCCTAACCCTAACCCAGGGCCCAGGGCGGGTAGGGCATATGCTGAGGGACATCCAGAGAACAGTGCACAGGGCGGGTTGTGCTGCTGGCTGCTGGAAGTGTGTGGTAAGTCATCTCCCTGGGCAGCGGGAGACCAGCACCTAGGAAGGGTACTGGGTATGCGCTCCAGGCAACACCTAGGAGGGAGAAGAGGAGCTTGGTGTGTGGGGGTCAGATTGCATAGTCAGGACAAAGACCTCAGCTGACTCTGCAGAGTTCTGGAACTGGGAGGGACTTCAGAGTTGTCCTAAAACCCCAGGTTCAGCCAGACATGAGATAGATACTGTTCCCAGGGAGGGGGGTGCAACCTTGGGCAAGGGTGTGCTCTTCCCTTGGGGGCTACTGAAGAGAGCTGAAAACTGTTGTCAGCAATACTCCCAGCAGCAACACTCCTACCACCCCAGGTTACCCTGACCCACTACTTTGTGTAAGTTCTGGGAGCATCTTTCTGCCCCTCCCTGTCTCTGTCTCTCTGTCTTTCGTACTAAGGATTGAATCCAGGGGTGCTTAACCACTGAGCCACATCCCCAGCCCTTTTTTATGTTTTATTAGAATCAGGGTCTTGCTGAGTTGCTTAGGGCCTCACTGAGTTCCTGAGGCTGACTTTGAACTTGCGATCCTCCTGTCTCAGCCTCCCGAGTTGCTGGGATTGCATGTGTGCACCACCAGGTCTGGTCTCTTCTTAAGAGATCTGAGAAGTGTTTTTCTCATGGTCATTACAGTTCCCAGTGCCTTTCCAATTCCTTGTTCCAGTACCTCATGAAGTATATTTATGGGCCATAAATTTGGAGTTCTTTGAAACACTGTTATATCTTTCAAATCTGTTTCCTATCTATGCATAAATCACTTTGAGTGCATTCCAAATATTTGCAAAAACAACAACCAAAAACAAAACAAGCAAACAAAGAACCTTGATTGAAATAATAACATGAAGACTATAATCTCAATTTTTCTATGTAAGTGGGGAGGGGAGGAGTTAATGACAGTTAGTCATTATTCCTTATAGCCTGTAGAGGGTTCTACAGTTTCCATCGAACTGTAACTTACATAATCTCATTTGAGCCTTAAATGACCCACAATCACAGGTACACCTGGCATCACCATCTGAATTTTACAGATGATGAAGTAAAGTTTCAAAGAACATATAAATTGCACTCAATTGGAAAAAAAAATTTAAAATAAATGATGGAAGAAAACCAACCATATAAACATTACCCTTTAACTACCAAAACATAACCCAAAGATAACTGCATTCCTGGAGAGATCACAGAGATTAATGTCCCCACTACGCAAATAAAATCTGAGAAATGCAGAGCCGATGACTCCTACCGCATTCCCATTCAATTGGCCTGTCTGGCTGGTGCTGACCCAAGACGGACCGGATCTCAGACAATGAAGTGGGTTATCATAAGCTTAATTAAATTGTGACTCTAATTGCAGCAGCTGTTCCAGATGAGGTTTCATTGCCAGAGCAAATCAATGCATTCCCTGGAATGAAGCATACAGGTATTGATCTGATGAGGGCTTTTGTCCTCAATAATTTCTATTAAAGACTATCAAAAGCAATTTGCTGTTTTGAGCTGGCAGAGCGAACAATACTCATTCACCTATCAACTCCTCAGTTATCTGTCATAATCTAGTCTTCAGAGAACTTGTTCTCTGTGCTCCACACAATGCCCTTGGTCAGATATATCCACAGCATCTTGCTGATGGTAAGTAGTAATTACTGTAGCCACCTTGAGAAAACAAACGTGTTCCAAAGGGTGGGAAAGAGATCACACAAAAATTCAGTTAAGATTTCTAGGGGTCTAATGGTCTGGGGCATGTTGAGCTATTTTTTCAAGGTGCTGCATCTGGCAGTGCTTAGAAATAGGTACACTATGAAATAGGTAGTGTCCAGGGAGGAGCTCAGGATACAGCTTGGTGGTGGAGCACTTGCCTGGCATGTGAGGCCCCAGGTTCAATTTCCAGCAACACACACACACTTCACAATGTCCAGTGGGTTTGGATTTTGAAGGTAATGAACACTCACTAGATTTTTCTCTGTAGAATTCTTCTCTGAAGAAAAGGCTGTCAGTTTTGAGCAGGGCCCAGAACCAAAGAAGGCATTGTCACTGGTTCTGCCTGTTGACCAATCTTCTCTGCCCCTTGGGCCATGAGCCAGTGGAAGTGGTGGTGCTGGAAATATCAGCATAGATATGATGCTGAGGGCATCACTGTGTAGACACTTAGCACTTTGAAGCAGAGTTATGTCACCTGCAGTGAATTTTTATATGTGGCCACCGTAGATCCATTTTGATTATATTAGACTCTCTCATACCAGAAGTAGATATCTGCCTTATGCAACCACCTCCTGATGGGACAGTTGGATGCAACCTGCTCAACTGGCCTGCTGACCTTTACCCTCCATAGACTTTCCAGGTCTCCTGCAGTGACCATGTGCTCGTCACAGTGTGACTCCATGGAATTTGTATCTGCTTGCCCTGAGTCCACCAATTAGAACCACCCTGGCAAAACCATGAACCATAAGAGAGGCCTGAGGATGCAGGACCTTGTGTCTCTTGCTCTGAACTGCCTGGCTAAACAGAGATGACCTGGAGAGTGTCCCCTCCCTGCTGGCCCTCTGAAGCATGCTACTCTCTTGCCCCTGGTTTCCACAGTAACACACTCTTCTGTCATTCCATGTGCCCTGTGTTGCCTCCTCTGTGTCTCACTTGACCAATACACCCAAACCTCTCCTCCCAGTCAGGCCACCCCTAGAGGGGCAATTTTGGTGGAAACAACTGGACACTGGTCACAAGGGCATCTGCCAGCATAAACAAGTTTTCAGTAGGAGAGACACCTGGTCACGGGCCAGACACAGGCATTAGACTGTGTACCAGAATAAAGAAGGATGCTGTGAATGGCACACTGTGTACACCCATGACCAAATCCCTGGAGCTGCCAGGGTGGGCTACAGTGTATAGCCATCCTCCAGAGACATCAGGACCAAGTTAGGAAAAATACAACACTATGCTTTACAGACAGCTCTGCAATTCCCCGCATCCAGCTTATTCCATTCTTGTGCTTTCTATGCTTTGTTACTCTTGCTCAACTGGGGTCCAAAATGCTAAATAGAAAATTCCAGAATGGTTGGTACCATCTGTGATTTCAGGCATCCCTGGGGGTCTTGAAACATATGCTCTGCAGGCAAGGGGGAACTGCTGTATCTTTAGAGATACAGCTTCTAGAACATTACCGGGCCCTAGCAGAGACTGAACACTTGTTTTAGGGCCACAGATTACTAGCTGCCCAAGACAAACCTAGTATTACTTGATCCATCAAGGTGTAAATCGTGGGGCTGGGGTTGTGGCTCAGCGGTAGAGCACTCGCCTAGCACATGTGGCCCTCAGTTCAATCCTCAGCACAACATAAAATAAATAATGGTTGTGTTCAACTACAACTAAAAAATAATATTTTTAAAAAACGTATATATTGTGTGTCTCGAGCAGCACCCCATCATTATATAGAATGGGACAGCCCACCAGGTCCTTGCTCTGAACTGCCTGGCTAAACAGAGATGACCTGGATTTTGGAGGTAACGAACACTCACTGGAGTTTTCTCTGTTTTAATCATGTCTTTAATTTTAATTTAATCTTAATTTAATTTTAATGATAATCTTGTCTTTAAATTTTAATCATGTCTTCATTTGCAGAAAATAGGAAGTTCCAAGAGCATTGGCTCCTGCTGCCTCAACAATCTCCTAGGGGAGCACCCTATGACCAGCTCATTATCTAAGGAAAAATTCAAGTCAGGTTCCTGCTTACAGATGTTTCAGTGTTATATTGGTATCACCAATGGGAAAGTGGTCCTGAGAGCTGGGTGAGGTGGCACAAACCAGTAATTCCAGCAACTCAGCATGCTGAGGCAGGAGGATCTCTAGTTCAAAGCCAGCCTCAGTGACTTAGTGAGCCCTGAACAACTTTGCTGGACCCTGTCTCAAAATAAAAAAAATAAACAGATGGGGATGTTGCTTAGTGGTCGAGTGCCCTCTGGGTTCAATCCCTGGTACAAAAAAAATTACGTGAGGAGGTCCTGAGGACAGTGTTCAAAGGAAACCCTCCCTTCCTGTGGGTTGAACTTTGAACTGTCCATCCGGTTGTTCATTTTGCTGTGGAGGAGAGCTGGCCAGAGCTGTAGATCTATACACTAAAGGAGTGTGAGATGGGTACAGTAGCACATGTCTGTAATCCCAGTGGCTCAGAGGGCTGAGGCAGGAGACTCACGAGTTCAAAGCCAACCTCAGCAAAAGCAAGGGGCTAAGCAACTCAGTGAGACCCTGTCTGTAAATAAAATACAAAATAGGTCTGGGATATGGCTCAGTGATCGAGTGCCCCTCAGTTCAATCCCTGGTACCTCCACCAACACCACCCCCAAAAAGAAAAGAACAAAACAAAACAAAACGGAGAAGGAGCATGATTGGAAATGGGTAAAAGACTGAAAGTTTCCCCTTTAAATCTGGGAACACGATAAGGGTGCTTGCTCTTACCACCTCCACCCAACATTGTGTTGGAGTTTTTACTCAGTGCAATAAGGCAAGGAAGAAACAAGCACAGATTGGAAAGAGAAATAAAACTGTCTTTACTTGCAGAAAACATGATTAAGTAAAAAATTCTTAAAAATCTAGAAAAATAAGCTATTAGAACTAATAAACGAGTTCAGCAAGATTGCAGAATACAAAGTCAATATAAAAACTGCATTTATATACTAGAAATGAAGAATTAAAATTGAAATTTAAAAGTATTTTCAATAGCACTAAAAATCAAATATTTAGGAATAAATTTTTTTTATAAATATTTTTTAAGAGAGAGAGAGAGAGAATTTTAACATTTATTTTTTAGTTTTTTTGGCGGACATAACATCTTTGTTTGTATGTGGTGCTGAGGATCGAACCCAGGCCGCACGCATACCAGGCGAGCGCGCTACCGCTTGAGCCACATCCCTAGCCCCCTTAGGAATAAATTTAACAAAACATTTGTATAATCTGTATACCAAAAGCTTAAAAAATTGCTAGGAGAAATTAAATGGGACATAAATAAATAAATAAATAAATGAACAGAAATAAATAACATATTTGTGGGTTGGGAAGACTCCATGTTAAGATATTAATTCTTCCCAAATTAATCTAAAGATTCAATGCAATCCCAAGTCCCAAGAAAAATTCCATCAAATCTTTTCTTTTTTTTTCCTTTTTTTTAGAAACTGAAGACAATTTATATAAGAAAGCAGAGTACTGAAAGTAGCCAAAATAATTCTGTAAGATAAGAACTAAGTTTGGAGGACTGGCACTGATTTCTGTACTTACTCTGTAGCTACACTAATCAAGACAGTATGGTATTAGTGTAACAATCTATGAAACAGAGGCTAGAAATAGGGTCACATACATATGGATAGCTGAGATTCAACAAAGATGCCAAGGCATTTAACAGGGAAAAAATAGTCTTTCAACAAATGGTGCTAGAATAACTTGGTATCTATATGGATGGAGGCGAAGAATACCAATCTACCTGACACTATACACAAAAATAAACTCCAAATGTACCATTAGGGCTGGGGTTGTGGCTCAGTGGCAGAGTGCTTGCCTAGCATGTGAGGCACTGGGTTTGAATCTCAGCACTGCATATAAATAAATAAAATAAAGGTTCATCAAAAGCTAAAACCAAACCAAACAAACAAAAAAAATTAACATAAGTATAAAAATAAAAACCATAACATTTTTAGAGGAAAACATAGATGACCTTTGTGACATTTGGGTGAGCAAAGATTTCTTAGGACATGAAGAACACAAAGAAGAAAAATCAATATACTGGACTTATCAAAACCAAACACTAACTGGGCACAGAGGCATGTGCCGTAATACAGCGACTGGAGGCTAAGGCAGGAATGCAAGTCCCAGGCCAGCCTGGGCAACTTCACGGGAGACCCTGTCTCAAAGTTAAAAGAATTTTAAAAGGGCTGGGATGAAGCTCAGTGGTAGAGAGCCTCTGGATTCAATCCCCAATACTGCAAATTAGAATATCTAAATTTAAAAGATTGTCAATACCAAGTACAGGTATACCTCGGAGATACTGTGGTTTGGTTTTAGCTCACCGGAATAAAATAAATATGGCAATGAAGTGACTCACATGAATTTTTTTTTTGTTTTTCAGTGCACAAGAAAGTTAACACTATACAATACATATTTGTACATAACACAAGACCAATGAAATATAATAAAGAGTGATACAAGGTATGTGTGCACTGGTAAGAATGTGGAATGCCAGAACCTTCTACACTGCGAGTGGGAACACAAACACCTTAACTGCTTTGGAAAACAGTTTAGCAATTTTAGCAGTTTCTTAAAAGGTTCAACAAACACTGTGCAACCTAGCAATTCTTTTTCTAAGTGTTTACCCCAAAGATTTGCATGCCAATATCCAGAGCAGCCCAAAATGGAAACAACCCACATGTCCATCAAATGGATAAACAAATTTCAGTGTATCCATACAATGGAACACTATGCAACAAAAAGAAACAAAGTACTGACAGAAAAGCCTTATGGGAAAGGATAGAAGCCAGACACAACATAAGAAAATATCTGTCAATTTTTTCATTCATATGAAATTCCAGAAAAGGCAAACCTCCAATGATAGAAAGCAGATCAATGTGTGCCAAAGATCAGGATTGGCTGCAAGGAGCCCAGAGTTTTTCAGAATGATGGTGATGTGACGGAAGTGTTTTATGGCATGACTGTGGTTGCAAACCCAGCACTTGTCCTAGTTTACTGCCCGGAAAAAGGTTCCGTTTTGCAGCACAGGAAGGAGGAACCCAAGTGGAGCCCCACAGACTCCCTGAGTTGAAGACATGGAGTTGTAAAGTCAGAGAGGATTGAGAAGCTGTTACCCCTGTGGGTCTGCGGCTTGGCGGTGGTTCTGGGATCCTTGATGGTCATTAGGGTCAAAAACAGGAAGCAGCCCTGGAAGTAGAGCAAAGGAGAGTGAGTGCAAGCTGGAACCTACCAGTTACTTCTGCCCATCACCTCATCTGACTGCAGAGTTTCAGAAAGTAATAGCCCTGCTTCAATTCTACCTTCCAAAATGCCTACAAGTTTCTTCTTGTCCAACTCTAACTAGACTTATACTATATGAAAGGGAATTTTGGGTAATACCCAGCTTGACCAAGGTGACAATAATACAATACAACATGCACACAACACAATTTAAAGACTCTCTCATCACATTATGTATGTGAATGCTACCTCAATAAAAATGAAAAATAATAGATTTGATTATTAACACTATTTTTTAGTTTAGCTATATAACCAATCATATTAATTGAAAAGAATTATCAGTCCTATCTCATTGTGAAAACTATCCAACAAATTTTATTTATAATTATTTGACATTTCCCGTATGTTTTCTAATGCTGTTTACTAATAATAATGGAACTAAAAACTCAGACCAGAAAAATAACGAACTTTAGAGACTTAGGATCAAAAGAAATTTTTTTTTTTTTTTTTTTTAAAGAGAGAGGGAGACAGAGAGAATTTTTTTAATATTTATTTTTTAGTTTTTGGCGGACTCAACATCTTTGTTTGTATGTGGTGCTGAGAATCGAACCCGGGCCGCAAGCATGCCAGGTGAGCGCGCTACCACTTGAGCCACATCCCCAGCCCCCATAAGAAATTTTTTAAAAATTTAATTTCCATTTTGTTGACAAAAGCATATGATTAATAAAGAATTTATGCTAGGGAGCAGGGATTGTGGCTCAGTGGTACAGCATTTGCTTAGCATGTGTGAATAACTGGATTCAATCCTCAACACCACAAAATAAATAAAGTTATTAAAAAAAAAAACCCAGAACTTACGCTAGGGGATGGGGACCCAGCTCAGTGGCAGTGGTTTAATGTGCTTAGCATGTGCAAAGCCTTGGGTTCAAGCTCCACTGCTTCTGAAAAAAAAAAAAAAAAAAAAAAGTACTGGGAGCCAGGCCGGTGGTGCACCTCTGTAATCCCAGCGACTTGGAAGGCTGAGACAGGAGGATTGCAAGTTAAAAGCCAGCCTCAGCAAGGGCAAGGCCCTAAGCAAACTCAGTGAGACCCTGTCTCTAAATGAAATACAAAATAGGGCTGGGGATGTGGCTCAGTGGTTGAGTACCCCTGAGTTCAATCCCTGGTACCCTCCCCACCCCCAAAAGTACTGGGAATTGAATCACTGAACTACTTCCCTAGTCCTTTTTATTTTATTTTGAGACAAATTGTGCAGGCTGGCCTTGAGCCTGTGATCCTCCTGCCTCAGGCTCCCGAGTGGCTGGGATTACAGGTGTGTGCCACCCTGAGGATATTTTGGTACCAAAGATTAAATTCAGGAGCACTCCATCACTGAGCCACATCCCAGCCCTATTTTGTTTAGAGACAGGGTCTCACTGAGTTGTTTAGTGCCTCACCATAGCTGGTGCTGGCTTTGAACTTGCCATTCTCCTGTCTCAGCCTCCCAAGCCGCTGCTGGGATTACAGGTATGTACTACCAGGCCGCCCTGAGGAATTATTTTGATAAAAACAAACAACACAACAACAAATTTTTTTTTCCTCTAAAATTAAGGAATCCATTTCCATGACTGTCATGAAGCCCTGGGTGAGTTAGCAGGAATAAGTTTGGAGGTAACTATCCTGGCTCTGGAATTCCTAGTAACAATCACTGTTTTCTCTCTTGATCTCAATGGAAAACCCAGGATCATATAACCTCAACATTCCTGGCAAACGCCAAAGCCAACTATGTAGGAGGCTTTTTTAGAGGAGAAGACAACTCTTGTCTTCCCAGAGGATAAATCCTCCACGTTGCTCTATGAGGCAGATAGCAACCCCGAACCATGAATGGGTTGGGGTCTGCGCTGGCCTCAATGGCTTCCTTTCAATTAAAGTAAGTGGACAGCAGTAAAGTTCAACTCCCCCTTCCCCACCCCGGGGGTCATCCTACAATCATTGAAAAACACCTGGCTCAATTAAGTGTCAAATATTATTTTGTTACCTACACATTTCTCCTTACCTACTCTGAAAGGGAAATAAATGTCAATACCAATCTCCAAAGTAAGATCAGACAGGCTGGACAGGTCAGGAGAGACCTACATTTTACCTTCTGGCAAGGCAATTTTTTTTCTTTCTTTGGAGAAATGTCTACTTTTGTTAAGACTACCTAAAACTGCATACATTTAGCTACAGTAAAATTCTTAACTGCCTTGGAAGAAGCAGAGCCCCTTTCACACCAAGACAGCACATTAGCCGAACTTTCAGCATTAAGCATCAGTGCTTTTGGGGGTGTGGTGATGGCATTCTACCTCTCAGCATCGCTAACATATTCAAATTTTTTTTGTTGTTGCCCTCCAAAAAGACCACAAGAATTTATTTAACCAAAGTTGCCCAGCACCTCTTCTAGATGATCTAGAATGAACTTTGCTCTTTATAATGTCAAAAACCCCAGGCGGTACTGTCCACCATTTTTAAAAATGTGCTTTAAGAAGCATGCCTTCTACCAACCTGGTGCGGGAATGTGCCTCTCTGTGGGTGACAAGTAACCTCAGTAAGCGTCCCTGCTACCTTTGTTCGCAGAGACACGGCTTTGGGAAGACATCCTCTGCCTCTCGTTTTTCCTTTACTTATGAGTAAGTAAACCATTCTTCACTCTGATCTTTTCTGATTGTGCTCACTGGCTCCTCGATCACCAAGGGGCAAACGGACCCACTATGTTCGCTTACAATCCTTTTTGTCAGTAGGATCCTTAATTATAAGCTTAAAAAAAAGAGAGAGAGAGAAAAAATAAGCAATTTAGAGTAAGGGTTTCCTACCAGACATCCAGCGGTTTCGTTTTAATGAAATTGGGACACAGAATATTAATTTAATGCCCTTGAAGCCATTTAGCCAGGTTGCCCAAGGGTGATGCACAGGTTTTAGGAAACGTGGCTGCTTACCCAAACGTTGTCAGATTGCGATAGGACACTGCCCACGTGGCTCGCTCTGTACTGATTCCTGCGGTCTCATGCCAACTCAGAACCCCGACCCTCGGGGACCGCCTCCGCGCCGCGAACGTTCAGGAGGGATCCGGGAGAACGGGCGGGGAGGCCGAGGAAGGTTCGGTGGGCAGGCACCGCCAGGTCTGAGCAGGGTCCTCGCCAGGTGCTCCTGGGCCGCCCCCCACCTCCCAAGCCCCTCAGCCTGGGACGCTCCCATCCCGGACTCTAGGGAACTGGGCAACGGTTCCTCGCCTCTTCGAGGATCTGCCCACCGAGCAGGACTTCCACGGCCCCTGGCCGCGCCCCTCTGCGGGGCGGGGGCGCGGCGGCTAGCAATGGCGGCGGCTACAGGGTCCCAGGGTCATTCTCCAAGGCGCCCTTGACTGGTTCACGCCGCGGTGCCACCTACCTTGCTAACAGGCGGCCGCGGCGTGCGGCGCGTAGGGGCGGAGAGAGCGGTGACGGGCATTTGGCGCCGCCAATGAGAGCCAGACCGTCGGGATCGTGGCCAATCAGAGCCCGAGAGGCGGAGACGCGGGTAGGTTGCGGGCAGGCGGCGCGTGTGGTGGATTCGGAGCTCCCGGGACCTTTCCTCCTGCGGAGCCGGGGTCGCCCGCCTCGCTAGTTCCCGCGTTCCCCGCACCGCAATTCCGCCGCCAGCTGGACACTCGGAGGAGCGAGGGGGCCGAGCCCGCGCGTCTCCTGCAGCGGCGCTCTCCCCCGAGGGGGCTCTTCTCAGCGGCTGCTGCAGAGACATGAGAGGCGGCGCCTGGCCTGGGCAACGAGAGACGGACTCCGGGCCGGCCAGTTAGGGGACTTAGCTGACGGCCGCCCGCGCCCTCCCGGGCCCGCTGCTCTGCCTGCGGTGGCGGCATGTTCCCGCGGAGGCCGCCGGCCGGCCTGGCCGCCTGGCTAGCGGGGGCGCGGGGCGGGGGCCTGCTGGGCTTGCTGGCCAATCAGTGCCGCTTCGTGACGGGCCTGCGTGTGCGGCGCACGCAGCAGATCGCGCAGCTCTACGGCCGCCTCTACTCCGAGAGCTCGCGCTGCGTCCTACTCGGACGCCTCTGGCGCCGGCTGCGCGGCCGCCCGGGCCATGCCTCTGCTTTGATGGCGGCGCTCGCCGGCGTCTTCGTGTGGGACGAGGAGAGGATCCAGGAGGAGGAGCTGCAGAGGTGGGCTTTGCAGCGAGTCGCCCCTGTGCTTGGGGTGGGGTGGCCCCTGCGGGAGGTGGGGACGTGCGACCCTCGGGGCCTGCCCCGTGTCCCCTGTTTACCTGGTCTTCCTGTGAGTGGCGGTGCAGCAGACTGGAGCAGTTTTAGCAATTCACCTTGCTGCCCGTGTGTTTCTGCGGTTTGTTGCGTTAGAAGCAAGGGCCGGAAGTGGGTGTTATTCTGGGGGGGGGGGACTTTGGATGGGTAGTATGACACTGAAGACAACCTTAGGAGTACAGGGGTAGCTCAGTGCTGGAGCACCTGCTTGGCAAGCGCGAGGTCTGCGCTGGATTCCCAGCCCTAGAGATAAAGAAAAGAAAAACCACATTGTAAAAGTGAATACAGAAGGCGTGCAGGCCCTTCTTGACGAAATCTTTAACGTTCTCAGAAAAAAATGCAAATTCAGAACGACTTTAAACTCGACCTGAGGCTGTATTTCTGCAGTTACAAAATGACTGCCATCCAAATGGGACTCAAGCCTTGGGAGAAGTGGCCCGAGAGAGCTCTGTCATTGTGACTCCCTTCTGAAAGGAATTTAGAGGCTGGGAGGGATTTTGCCCTGCTTGCACAAACCGATAACCCAGACGTTTTATCCTATAAGAATTAGGTGAGATTTTTGCTACTTTAGAACTTTGGGTATCATTAAGGTCAGAAGTCATGCTGTCATTAAAACTTCTGGGTGAAAATCCAGTACCGTTGATTGTATTTGTTACTCTGTAGTTCTAAATCTCAGATTTTATGTAATCTAAAGATTTGTTTTAGGGCTGGGTTGTGGCTCAGTGGCAGAGCACTTGCCTCATACATGTGGGGCACTGAGTTCGATCCTTAGCACCACATAAAAATAAATAAAATAAAGATACTGTGTTCATGTATAACTAAAAATATTTTTTAAAAAAGATTTGTTTTTAGCCCTTGAAGTATATGTCTCTTTATTTACTTTATTTCTTTTTTCCCCACTGTTACTGGAGTTTAAACCCAGGGCCTCATGCATGCTAGACAATCACTCTACCACTGAACTACATCCCCAGCTACTCTTTGTTGTTGTTGTTGTTGTTGTTGGTTTTTGTTTTGAGATAGGGTCTCACTAAGTTGCCAAGACTGGCCCTGAACTTGTGATCCTCCTGCTTCAGCTTTGTCAGGAGCTGGGATTAAGGCATATGCCACCAAGCCTGGCTTGGATTTTCATTTTTTGACAGATATTTTTAGACTGTGTCCTCTACATAAGCACTCTTTTAAATTCTAAAACTGTGATTTCAGGAACCAGGGACAGTTCCCTCCTCCTCATAGATCCCACAGAGTATCTTTATTCTAGATATTTCTTGAACAGGGAGACCACCTGTTATTCCACATTTTTGGTTAGATTGAAAATGGAAATACAGCAGTAAAGTTTGTACCATGGCCTGTGTGGGAAGTGTAATACCCAGATGCCAGGCAGCTATTTGTGCAACACTATGAATTGTGGGTAAATGCAAGTCTATCTTAAGAACTGGGAATGCTTTTCCTAGCAGGAAGGATGACTTTTATAATGCAATTTAAAATCAGAACCACAGGGCTGAGGGTGTAGCTCAGTGGTAGAACCCTTGCCTAGAATGTACAGGGCCCTGGATTCCATCCCCAGAGCTGTTAAACAACCCTCCTCCAAAACAACAACAACAACAACAAAAAAAAACTAAGATCATAACTGCACATAGCCTCGTTCAAAAAAATTAAAGAATCAAAGCATGATAGCAATTTTGCCTAGTTCCTATTAGCATTCTTTTGCTATTTGGATATTTGTGCTAATCTTGCAAGAAATAAAAAAAATGAGAAGAAAATTTTAAGAAAATTGCTGATTAACTGTTTAATTTTCTTTCTTCCTTTTTTTTTTTTTTTTTTTTTTTTTTTGGTACTGGGGATTGAACTCAGGGGCACTGAGCCACTGAGCCACATCCCAGCCGTATTTTGTATTTTATTTAGAGACAGGGTCTCACTGAGTTGCTTAGTGCTGAGGCTGACTTTGTACTCACAATCCTCTTGTCTCAGCCTCCTGAAATTACAGGTGTGTGCTATCTTGCCAGGCCCTAATTCTATTTTTTTTTTTTGGAGGGGGGGCGGGTACTAAGGATTGAACCCAAGGGTGCTCACTTACTGAGCCACTTCCCCCCAGCCCCCTTTATTTATTTATTTATTTTTTGATACTGGATCGAATCCAGGGCCTTGTGCATGCAAGCCAAGCACTGTACCAACTGAGCTATATCCCCAGCCCCACCCCCTTTTAATATCAATTTTCAGTTGTGCTGGGGTTGTAGCTCAGTGGCAAACACTTGCCTAGCATGTGTGAGGCACAGGGTTTGATTCTCAGCACCACATAGAAGTAAATAAATAAACAAATTAAATAAAGGTCTATCAACAACTAAAACATTAAAATTTTTTCAATTGTAATTGGACACAATACCTTTAAGTAATTAATTTACTTATTTTTATGTGGTGCTGAGGATCGAACTCAGGGCCTTGCATGTGCTTAGCCAGAGCTCTACCATTGATCCACAACCCCAGCCCATCCCCAGCTCTTTTTTTATTTTATTTAGAGACAGGTTCTCACTGAGTTGTTAAGTGCCTCGATAAGTTGCTGGGGCTGGCTTTGAATTTTCAATCCTTCTGCCTCAGGCTCCTGAGCCGCTGGGATTATAGATATGCGTCACCTCGCCCAGCAGCCCTCATTCTATTTTTTTTATTACTATTGTTTTAGTTGTCAACGGATCTTTTATTTAATTAATTTATTTATATGCAGTGCTGAGGATTGAACCCAGGGCATCACACATTCCAGGCAGGCGTTCTACTACTGAGCCACAACTCCAGCCCTTCATTCTATTTTTGATGAATTTCCTGTGTTCCATACTGGTGACCCTTGAAAAGAAAATCCTCAGGTGGATCTGTTCGGGAAGGAGGAGAAAGGGTTAGTTGGTACAAAAGAGAGGGAAGGAATTGGGGCGCTGGGAGTTGAACAGTGTTGGGGTTTAGTGGTAGATGACATTGTTTGCATTACTTAATGTACTTTTATGGGTGATACATCCTGGAGCTCTGGATGGCAGTTCTCCCATTTAGGGGAGCTGGAACGGAAAACAATTTAAGAAATGGATGTATTGAACATTCAGATAATAAGTCAGTCCCACTCTGGCCATGAGATTGGGCCAGTTGCTGACCCAGGTGTTCATCCTGTTTCCTGCTCTTCAGTCAGTCTCCGAAACCAGGATCTGTTGAAACACTCTTGGTTCTAATCCTGCTCGCTTTGCAGTTTAGGTGTCCAGTCAGACCACTTCTTTTTTGTTTGTTTGGGTGCTGGGAATTGAACCATCACTCTGCCACTGAGCGGTACCCCAGTCTACAGAGCACTTGGGAGCTGCCTTTTGTTTTGGTCTTCCTCCAGTTACTACAGTAAAGGCCCATATTTAATACTTCATTGCCTTTGTTTTTGTTGTGGGGTTATTGGGAATAGAATCCAGGGAGGTTTCTTTACCACTGAGCTACATCTCCTCATGCCACGCCCTTTACATTTAAAAAAATTTTTTTAAATTCTGAGATAGGATCTTGTTAAGTTGCTTAGAGTCTTACTAAATTGCTGAGCTGGCCTTGGATTTGTGATCCTGCTGCCTCAACCTCCTGAGTTGGGGGATTATAGGTGTACACCACCAGCCTGGCTTAATACTTCATTGTCTAGTTCATGCTTGGATTTTGCTTTTCTTTTCTTTTTTCTTTTATTTTTATTATTATTATTTTTTTTTAGTTGTAGATGGACACAATACCTTTATTTTATTTGTTTGTTTTTATGTGGTGCTAAGGATTGAATCCACTGCCTCACGCATGCTAGGCAAGCACTCTGCCACTGAGCCACAACCCTGGCCTGGATTTTGCTTTTCTTATCATTAAATTTTGATCAAGTTGTTAATCTTGATCAAGGTTTGTTACCTTGATAGGGAGACAGATTATATATTATTGATTGTAGATTGTTTCCTTGTGTCTCAGTTCTAATAGCTTATAATGTTTACATTTTTATTGAATAAAATGTGGATACAGTCTAACTTTTTTGCTTGATGTTTAAGTATTGTATTTGCTTTAGAACAAGTACTGCTGAGGTTGTTTCACCTAGCTTAGAACATTTGGATTTTGTTTGTTTTAGTGAGGTGGTTGAGAGAGATTGGGTAGTTTCCAGA